GTAGGCTGTGTGCAGCTGTGCTCGGTCTCCGATCCTAGGTTGCATACCTCATCCAGTTAGTACTCATTGTCCTGTTCGAGGTACGTACGTTACCTCCTAATTAGAAAATTGATGTCGCATAAATGACAAAGAATTTTTGTATATTGTAAAGGATCGACAGTTTCAACAGTACAGGAGATAAAACCAGTAAGCGGGTGCGCCAGATTTATTGCTGCAATCATACGGTTTGCAGTTTTCCTCGAAAATACTTGTTGCTGGGCAGTATTTTTTCTTTCCAGGCAGGAACTTCTTAGTTAAGGGAGTAGAAATACGCATCGATATTGAAGTGCCATGTAAAAGCTGTTAGCGCCATATTGCCGCGCACTTAATTGAAAGGAACGTGAAAGTTGTTTTTACATAAATTTGCTCAATCGAGCATTCTAATTGCTACGGTTGTAGAGTTGCAAAACTGTCAGCGCCAAATTGCGCACGTCTCCAATATGTGCAATACCGAAGGAATATAAAAGTTGGCCTTTCCAAACAATATGCGTATTTGCATTTGCATAATATGCAAAAACACATAAAAATGAGGTAAAATGAAATTTACTCAAAATGTACATCAATAAAGCTTTCAAAAGATGAGCATGACGAAACAGTAGTCTTTGGCTGTGAGCAGGAGGCACATCTGTTGCCACCAGGATGGGTCTGGGAATCACTGCGAGTGTGTGTGTATGTGCTGTGTTTGTGAGTGTACCTCAGGGGTGTATGTGAATGAGGAAAGGTCGTCGAATTGGTGATGGAGGCAGGAGGGGGGTTACACAGTGTTATTATCTATTTTTTAGAAACTGTGCAGGAAAAAGGCGTAATTTCGACAAATGCAAAAAACCGGTCCCTGCATGGGTGAGGGAGGAAACAGAGAAAGGAAGAGCCCTCTGTGAGATGCACTATAGCGGAGATCGCTGATACCTCACTGCGCTGCATTTCGATATCAGCACTTGGATTGTGCTTTTCCGATAGCAACCGGAAATGTGGTACTTATCGAGTGGGAAAAAAAGGCAGATTCATTAATGTGCGGTCAGTGGCAGAGCCCTCGACCCGACCTCCAGCGCGAATTACTTTCTCACCGTTCGAGGAACCAGGCATGCACGAGTTCATCCTTGAAATGGCTCTTGAAATAAT